TCCAAGTAAAATGTGGCCCAAAGGCTCATAAACACGGCGAACACTACAGTTCCGTAATTGTCCAACAGGTAAGAGCCCTTCATGTAGGAGCACGACTGGGACAGTAGCGTGTAGTTGCAGTTATGGCTACATATGGGGCACATATACGTGTCGTCGTTCTCGCATAACTGACGGGTTGGTACGTCGGCGGTGAGGGTCGACACGCCGTATATGAAGCATATGAGACCAATGACTGAGGCGGGCACCAACATCTTGGTGTAGAAGCCAACCCATGCGAAATACATGGCTACTTTCACACCGAAGTAATCGGCTATCCTTTCCAGTGGTTGACTCTTGAGTAGTGATGATAGCGATGCCCAGTCTTGGATCAGTTGATTTCGCGCCGAGTCTAAGTCTTCATCCAGTTTCCCTGTAAATGACATTCAATTGACAATTTGATATAAATTTATAAATTAATTATTAAAATATAATATTGAAAATATTTTTTGGAATTAATAGCTAGTGTACATTAATAACTAAAAATGAAAATACAGGTAATACGGTAATTTATAAATCATCAACGACCATGAAAACTGTATACTGTATATCAGTACAATTAAAATGTTAAATATTTTATGAGAAAAATTAATTCAAAAAATTCAATTCCATAAACAAATATAAAATTGTGTTATTAAAAAACCAAAGTATAATGCATTTATAAATTACTTTTTAATTATCATACTAGACACTTTCTATTATACTAATTGTTTGCTTATTAATTATTATAGATGTCATTAAAAGTTTATAACACAAACCTTCATGCAATGGATAGGCGGCTAAATAGATATCATCGGAAATCAATTTATCGATTCCTATGTGCAATATATCGGTCGGATTTGTGGTAAAACTCTTTCGCTTCAGAATAAACTCCACAATTTGTGCCCTTTGGCTGCTCGTGAAGAACTGTTCCTTATCGGGCACCGGTATGTCAAACAGGTATTCCTTATCGCGAGTGTATGGTGCTGTGAACACCATACTATCAGTGCTGTACTCCTCATCAAATAAAACTTTCATATTTGACTGAATCGTTTTCATAGGCATCCGGAGTTTCATGACTTCAGCATATCTGGTCAACAGATCCCAGGGCGCGAAGATATGCACATACGTATACTCCCCGCTCCCTATGCTGTCCGTGTACTCCAGTATCAGCCCCTCCTCTATGAGGTTTTGCTACAAAACAACAGAATATTCCGTAAAAAACATGACAAAAATCTGTGGCTATCGACTCATACCTCGTATATCTGCCGCGATTTCGACATATCCTCCGATAACTTGACGTCTTTGGTCCGGAAGACTAACACAAAGTCAATCCGCTTCTGGCGATCGTTCAGATAAACGCCGTTTGAGATCATAGTATTGACTCCATTATTGT